CTAAATCGAATAAAATTGATTGCGAAATACAAGAAATCAATTTGTTTTAAATTAAAGAAATTTAACCTCTTTTGAAAAAAAAAATGAGAAAAGATGAATTTTTTTTTTAAATTTTGATTTTTTGAAATTGAGAATTCTTTTTCTTCGTTGAATTTTTTGTCAAAGAGATCCTATGGAATTTTTTTTTTTGTTATTTGAATTTTGTCAACCAAAAGAAGGCCTATTTCACAATACCCTTTTTGGTATCAGGTCACCCCTTGAGTATGGTGCCTTTTCACGGTAAATGACTAGGCCCTTAATGCCAAATAATACCGATAAATTTAAATAAATGTTTGAAAATTTTTGCTTCATTTTTCATTTTGGAAATTTATTTACAGTCAGTTCCACTTTTAATGCACAAACTTTCAACGAAAATTAAGGCACAATAAAAATCTCAAATTAAGGCACAAAATTCAGATTCTAGGAAAATAATTTGTGTAAAAAACAATTTCAAATTTTGTACCTTAATTTGTGATTTTTATTGTGCCTTAATTTTCGTAGAAAGTTTGTGTCTTAAATTTGAAACTGACTGTACCAGAGTTTTGAATTAAGCATTTTATTGGTTTAAATGTTAAGAAAGTTTGTAAAATTAGTTGATCTTCAAAATATTCTTTGTCAAGAACTGTTTCAGAAGTAGAGTTATAAGATTTACATAAAATATGGTAATTGAACGAAAAATTTTTTGAAATTTTTTTGGATTTATCAGTTAACAATAGGCAAATTAATTTTTTAGTGTAAGTAAACGAAAATTTTGTTTCTGTAATGTCGTTTATTTTTAGAAATAAATAGTATCACAGATGTTATTGAAATCTCAAAAAGTTTATTTACACGGTTTGTGTTGTCTCTGCTAATAATTCAATATACGCATAGTTTTGAGAATCAATTATTAAATGTTCTTGTTGATTTTAATTTGTCATTTATTTATAAAAGAAACTTAATTATTTAAAATAAAGAACTAGCCTGATCATAAATATGTTTAGAAAATTGTCTTATTATTTGATATTTTGTTAAATGTGTTGTGAAAATTAGATTTAAATAATCAAATTTTTTTTTTTTCAAATTTATAATCTTGTAAATATTTTTGGATGATAGTATTTTGTAATTCTCTTAAAATTTTAGAGTATTTATTAAATTTGTTTAAATAGAATGAAATTGTTTGAAGAAAAATAAAAAAAAAAAACAAAAGAAGAAAAAGGTAAATTTGAAATTTATATACCTCATAACATCTCCATTATGATCTGCAAATTCTGTTATTTTGGATCCTGATTCAATATCCCAAAGGATGCAACTCATATCACCTGAAGAAGTAACAATTTGTTGGTCATCCAAAAATCTACAAGTCGATACATATCCAGTATGCGAACTTAATTCACGATAAATACTATGAAAATAAATGAATTTATAATAAAAGGAAAATTAATAATATATATTAGTTTCGAGATGGATAAATATTTGATCAAGAAATATGAAAACAAGATTTTTTTGTTTTTTTTGTTTATTTTTGTTTGTTATTAATATTACAACTTTTAAAACTTTCTAAAATGAAAAAAGGTTGTTTTTTGAATTAGAAAATTTTACAAGCGTTTAATAATTGAATTTTTGTACAATTCATGTTGTAATACTCATTTTTGAAAAATAAATAATCATTTTCAAAAAAAGTTTTGTATTTAATACAACCGAAATATTGAAAAATTACAAATGTTGGTAAATAATGAAAACTCGATTAAGTGTCAGGAGACTCCGAAATTGAAATAACCAAATTCAAAATAATTTTTTTTGTTACCGCTATTTTAAAAAAGTGTTGACTTTTTTTTTTTTTTTTTTTTTTTGAGAGTTAAAACCTTTTTAAAGTTTTTTATTTGAATTTACTGCTTAATTTTAAAAAAGTATTGTCTTTTTTTTTTTTTTTGAGAACGCCAGAGTTTTAACTTTTTTAGAGTTTTTTTCTATTTTAATAAAGTGTGGACTTTTAATTATCCCTAGTGAGTAATAAACATATTTTTGGGTCTTTAATAAAATTTCTAAATCAAAATTTAGGAATTTGGGGAAATGCCGTAGGGTGCCATAGAGTGTGTAGCTTTTCTAGAATTCGATAGAATAGAGTAAAATCTAGGTTTTTTTCACTTTTTGAAATTAAAAAAAAGCTAACGGCACTTTTCTTGAGGTTTTATGTTTTATCTATAAAATCTATTGGTTTTCGTTAGGTTTTCTTGAGTTTTCTGTTTATTTGTGAATTGTTCTAGGTTTTTTTGGAGGTTTTCTATTTATTTGGAAAACCTCAAAAAAACCTAGAACACTTCACAAATAAACAGAAAACTCAAGAAAACCTAATGGCAAATAAGAGGAATTTTAAACTCCTCGTTTAAATAATAATAATAAATAAAAATAAAAATAAAAAAAAGTGTTTTTCTCCCTCATCCCATACACCATCTCTCATTTAAAACATGTATTCTCACTTTTTTTAAAATAGAAAACTTAATAAAAGTTTTAATTCTGGTTGAGTTCTAACTTTATTAAAATAGAAAACTTTTAAAAGGTTTTAATTCTAAAAAGGTCTTTTACTTTTTTGAAATCAAAAACACAAAAAAAATTTTAAAAAAGCAAAATTTGTTTAAAAGTAGCTATACCAAATTGTATTCCCAGAATTTTAGAATGTTATTTTGGTGAATAAATATATTAAATTTAATTAAAAATTTAGATCAAGAAAATTATGAAATGTAAAGAGCAAATGAATTCTCAAAATATAATTGTTTGGATTTTGATTCATGAGCTTTGGATTATGAAGGGGCGAAAAAACTTGTCAATTATTTTTTATATTTTTCATTTCTCCTTAACAGAAATATTTTTTTGGAAAAGTCTAACGTCGCTGTTCCGTTCAATTGTGGGGATGTTTTTTCCAGAGAAAAAAAAAAAATTGAAAAAAGTCTTGACTGAAATTTTTTTATTTCAAAAAAAGAACACTGAAAACAAAATACATACTTGACTTTTCCTTCTTCTTCTTGGCTTAAATCGTAAATTGTACAAAGGTTGTCTAAACCACCACATGCAACTAAGCTCATTGATGGAGAAAAAGCGCAGTCCATAACCCAATTTGATCTTAATCTAATAGCGTGGATCTAAAAAGACATTGGTTATATTTAGAAACGTTTGGAAAAGTAAGGTTTTTTGTTTTTTTTAATTTATTTTTCGAAAGAATTCTTGGTCAAAGAAATCGCAATTTTGTTTGTAATAAGAAAGGGTGTTTGAAAAATAGGTACTTTCAAACACAATAAAAAAAAAAATTAAGAAGGTTTTTTTTAAAAATGGCAAACCTTGCATTGTGCTTGTGCGTCCCAAACTATAACCTTACCATCTTGAGATGCAGAAACAATATGGTTTGAGTCGTCTGCCCAATGCACCCCATAAACCTTTCCTAAGTGGCCTGTTAAATGAACCCTGACCTCAAGTTCAGATGTCTCTAAAGGTGGGATATCTGAAGCGAGAGTTTGTACTGAAAGAATTAAACGAGAGAGTTTTAAGATAAAAAATAATCGTTAGTTTGAGTTTTTTGGTTTTTTAAGTGTATTAGTTTCACTTTTCTTTTTGTTTTGGTTTTTTTTTTTTGTTTTTTTTTATTTTGTTTTTTTTTTTTTTTTTTTTTTTTTTTTTTTTTTTTTTTTTTTTTTTTTTTTTTTTTTTTTTTTTTTTTTTTTTTTTTTTTTTTTTTTTTTTTTTTTTTGGTTTTTTTTGTTTTTTTTTGTTCTCAATTTTTTTGTTTTCTTATAATTTTTAAATTTTTTTTTTTATTCCAAAAAGAAAAAGAATTATGAAAAAAAAAATTTAGTCTTACGTGAAGATTCGGAAAGATTGCTCTTTTTGAGATTGATCTCATTTTTAAGTTGTTTAATTTCTTCCTTAACTTCTGAAATTCGATCCTCAATACTCATATAAGCAAAAAGTTAAGGAAATAAAAAATAAATAAAATGATTATTCCTCATTTTTTGTTCCGAATTTCCTTTATTGAGATTCTGAGAATCCAAGTTGGCAATTCGTTTTAACGTACTAATGGTGATTTTTTGTTAAATTGGTTCACTAAGTATTATCTCAAGTAAAGTTTGCGGAATCTCATTAGAGAAAATTATTATTTTTTTATTTTGCAAATATTTCTTTTTGTTTTTAACAAAAAAAATCAATTTGTAGTTTGACAATTGTTCTCTTTTGCTTTGTTACAGTTTTTTTTTTGGAATCTTAAATAATGAGAAAGTGTTAATGTATTCAATAAAACAGTTTTTCTTAATGTTTTTAACGCCTTGTTGTTCTTGATTTTTGACAAATCAAATTCTTCCCATTAACATCCATTTTGTGAATGTTTTTACTTGAAAAAGAGAAGAAATATTTTTTCCTTTTTTATTCAAAAAACCAGATATTCTATTACAAATTCAAAAAATTTGATCTTCGATCTTTGTGGACGAACATTGCCCATTTCGAAGAAAGCTTGAAAAGTTTTTTTGTTTCGAAATTATGAATTTTTTTAAAAAATTTTTTTTTTTTTTTTTGACGTTTTCATAATAGTAATAAAATTTATAATCGTAGTTTCATAAATTGATGTGTAAAATTGTAAATTATTGAGAAATTTTCTTGATGTTCTTCTTTAAAAAATAGTTTCTCTTATTTTTTAAAATTCTGATCTTGTTTTATTTATTTGTTGTTTGACTCTTGATGGAATTAAAAAAAAATGGAATAAAATTACAAAAAAATCAGACCATTTTCATATTGTTTTCGATTTGTTGATCAGAGATCATCATCTTTTATTTTAGAAATTCTTTTTCTTTTCAAAAATCTTTGAAAAAAAATGTAAAATTATTTTTTTATTGTTTCCATTTAAATAATTCACAACCTAATTGTAGCTAAATTAAGGTTATAATGATACATTAATTTCTAAAGAACAAACACCTACATAAAAAAAAAAAGTATAAAAAAAGGGGCCTAACCGAGAATCGAACACGGGTCAATAGTTCCCTAAACTACCATTCTTCCACTAAACTATTAGGCCTTACATAAAGTCATCATATTCGTTATACTGGAGTTGGGCCCAAATCAAACTTTCATTCTTTCTTTTATTGTTACAAAAACTTTTAAATGTTCCTTCAAAAAAATAACAAAAAAGAAAATTGAATGAACTTACCAATCTCACCCATAATTTTCCATCCTCTGAAAGTTGAAAAGGTTATATCAAAAAGCTTCTCCTTTCTCCTGGTATTTGAATAAGAAAGGCGAAAAAATTTTCACTTTATTTTTAATTTCCAATTTCAAATAAAGCTTTTACAATTAAAATAAATCCCTCTGCTTCTTTCAAAACTCAATTTGTAAAAGAAAAATATGGTAAAAAGGAATTGATTATTCTTTTCACTCTTATTGTGCAAAGATGAGTACAAGTTTTTGAATTATGAACCTAGAAAAATTTTCACTTCATTTTCAATTTCCTGTGTAAAATAGAGTTTTCTATTTACAATCTATTTGTTTGAGAACTTCTTTTATAAAAGAAATATATGGAAAAGGAAGTGAAAATTTTTCCCCACTTATAATTTAAATAACAATATTTGTTGGTATTTTGAAATAAATAAGGATCTTTTTTGTGATTATGGTTGCGCAAACTCATATCACGATATGTTTGAATTTTGGATTTCTCATTCTTTTGGTTTTCAAAGATCTTTTTTTTCATTCTTGCTTTTTTGATTTTTGAATGCTAATTTATTTTGTTGTATGTTGTAGTTTGGAAAGTTATTTGCCTTTAAGACGTTTATTTTATTTGTTATCCAGTGAGAAGTGTCCACAACTGGTTTTTTTTTGTTGATCTTTTAAGCTAAGTTATTCATTCTAAAGGGGAAAAATTGGAAATTAGGGGAATTTTTGAATCGCCAAAAAAACTTTTTCAAAATAAAAAAAAATAAAAAAAAACTAAAAAATTCAAATCGTACTAATACAAACAAATGTTTCCTAATTAGCTTTTTTTCAAAATGAGTGAATATTGATTTGTAAATATTATATTTTCAAAAAAACTTTAAATTAATAACGTAAACTTTTAAAATTTATGAATGGCTTTAAGTGAAAATTGTGTTGACAGTCCAATTTTAAAAATATAACATTCAAATTGAAAATGATATTTTTGTAAACTATTAGAATTATCTTCAAGAGAAAAAAAATAATACAGTTGTATAAATAACCCGTGTTGACTTCAATAAATATTTTTTTTCAAACTTCAACTGTTGTTTTTGGAATAAAGTGTTCTTACCTGTTGTTAAGATAATTATTGGTATTGTTTTTTTTTTTGAATTGTTGTTGAAAATTCATGTGAGTAAAGTTATCTTCTTTTTTAACAGCAAAGCCGGTCTTGACCAAAATATTGTCATTCTTGTAGTAAAAAAAGAAATAATTTTTCTTTCTTCGAATTGATTGAAAAAATATAAGATCTTGAGATAACCAATAAAAATTGATCTTATAAGAGACTTAATTTGCACTCATTAGGAAAATATTTGAAAAAGAATTGATTTTTAAATAATTTGATCATTGGGCGTGTTCTTGTCTAATTTTAATCAAATAAAATAATGCCAAATTCACTTTTAATTCATTATGAAATATTACTTCACTGAGGATTTTATCCCTTCCAATGGAGGGCAAAAAAAAAGAACCAAATAAAAAAAAAAACACCCAATTACAATATAAGATTTGAAGACGATTGATTAAAGGAAAAAAGAAAAATGAAATGAATTTTTTTTTCATTTTAATTTCAAAAAACTTTGAAAAATTATTATCTCATTTTTGCAATATGTGAATATATCAGTAAAAAAGTTTTTAAGAAACCCTTTTTATCCTTTTTATGTTTTTTTTTTGTATTTATTCAAATTTAAAGATTTGTTTGTTGTGGATTTTGTTGTTTTGTTTAAATTTTTGTGAATTAGATCTTTTTTAAGCGGAGATTCGTCTTGAAGGTTGTAGAAAAAAAACTTTGATAATATGATCTATTGAAAACAGTGTTTGATTTGAAAGTATAGTTACTCTGAACTATATTTTTCCATAACAACAAAATAATAACATAGAACCATATTTAAAGAAAAAAAGAAAATCTATAAAAAAAAAAAAACATTTATTTACAAAAATAACACAGATAAATTTGAAAAACACAAAAAAAATATTCAACATGCGTTATCGAAACAACTGTGGAATGAAACAACACCAAAAAAAAATTGTGGTTTATTTTTCCGCTATTAGTAATTAATTTGTTATTTTAAGAAAAAAAGGAATGTTTATGTGAGTTTCTTCTCTTTAATGAGTTGGTCACTAAAGTCTGGAAAGTTTTTTGTATCCACAAACCTCAAAATGGTGTTCTATAATTTTCAATTTTTCGTGTTTTTTTGCTAGGTAATAATTCCTCTTATCTTGTAAACATTTCAAAACTAAAACAATATTTAAAGAGACGCCATGTTATAAACTAAAATTCAAAATGCCTCACACAGCTAAAACCTTCCAAACAATCACAATAATACAATTTCATTGAGATTGGCGATAATTTTGCTTTTTTTAAAATATGAAAATCATTTTTCATCTTTTAGTTTTTTTTTTTCATTTTATAGTTTGAATTACATAATCTATTTCGTTCGATCAAATTTTTTTTGAACAATTGATATTATGTTAAAGTTGAGTTGTTCCAAATAGAACTCAAAACAATTAGTTGGTAGTATCTAACCATTTGGTCTATCAATAATTCCTAATAGAATTTAAACAAATTTACTAATCAATTTTTTTGTTTTGGTCTCTCCAAAATTTGAAATACACCCATGATTTATTTATATTGATATACATTTATTGATTGTTTTGTGAGTATTGTACTTTATAAAAAAGTGTTAACATTTCAATTAGTGAATGACCTAATTTGGTAAATCTTCTTGAATTGATTAAATAAGTTTTTTTTTTCACAAATCGAATTTTGGTGTGTTAACAATTTTGAATTGGGATTTAGTTGATGTTGTATATGAGTTTTGGAGATCATTTTTATTGTCAGTCTTTGAAAATTTCGTTTCTTTTTTTTTTTTTATTTATTTGTCAAAAATTACTTATGATTTTTTAAAAAGTTTTTAATTAGATAAAGAATTTTAAAAATTGAATTTGAGTTATATAAAATACTCAAACTTAATTCTACCGAGATAAAATTGACTTAGCATATAAAAAAGAATTATTTCAGATATCTTAGAATACAAATTATTGGTTTTTTTTTGAGATTGGCAAATGGGGTTCTTTTTATACTATCAGTTCCATTTTTAAGGCACAAACTTTCAACGAAATTGAAGTAACAAAACAAATCTCAAATTAAGGCATAAAATTTGGAATCTTGTTTTTTACAATTTATTTTACTAGAATCTGAATTTTATTCCTTAATTTGAGATTTTTATTATGCCTTAAATTTCGTTGAAGTTTGTGCCTTAAAAATGGAACTGACTGTACAATAAAACCCCATTAAATATATTTTGTAGAACCACAAATTATTATATTTTATTTCTTATAATATTAGCACCTGTGATAATAAAATCAATATAAAAATTTAACAAAATTAGTTCATTATTAAAAAATTGACAAAACAATCAAGGTCTTTCCAATGAATTGTATACAGTCCTAATAGAAATTTGTTCAGAATGAAAGAAAAAAAATTTCTAAAGTTGTCTTGTCAAAAAAAAATAAAAAACCGAAGAATTAAAAAAACAGGATTAAATTTAAAATTTAAAAAAGAAAATGGGTAATAAAACTCAGCTGTTGGAAATTCAAATATAGACTTATTTTTGATTTTTTTCAACAGTTTTTTTAAATTAATGAATGGAATTTTTTTTTTGTTATTGTTTATCAAATAGTGGTTGTGTTTACAATGGAATTTATCATTTATTCACAATTTATAAATTGTTTGCCTATTTAGAGAATTTCAATACCTGAAAAAAGACTTGTTGGAATTTTCAAAGATGAATTGGTGTTTTTATTTTTTTCAATTTTTGGTTTTTTTTTTTAATTTGTGTGAAATCAATTGATTTAAGGATTATTCGAATTTTATTCCCAGTGGCTATTACTTTTATACCCCCACCACGAATTATGAACTCAAAAGAATGTTGAGTTAATGGATCTTGTTAAAATGTAAAATTTAGGTTTTTTTGAGGAAGGTAAAAAAAATTTACTTTCCAAATCCAAAATTTTTCACTCAAAACTTTCGACTTCCAAAATGATATTGAGAAAATGCCACTCTACTTTATATTGAAGTATGTTAGAGTTGGTGGTGAGTGGGTCCACCCATTTGAAAAGAAAGTGGAGTGACATTTACCCAATATCAAAAAAAAAAACCTTTTATTTTTGCCTTGTTTTGTTGGGATTTTTCGTAAAATTTTTGAATCAATAAATGATTTTAGTTAAAATCTTAAATCGCTAAAAATTAGCAATATTTTGACTTTCCCCTCAATTCACCTATTTTTAAAGGTCTTAATCTATTTACTGCTTTATATTTCAATGCTCATAGAGCATAAAAATCAGATAGTCCTTAAGGTACTAGTAAACTAAAAAAAATCTTCAAGCAAATTTAATACAAAATTCAAAAAAAATCACTACATGTTTAAATTGAAAAATAAAGTAAAAATCTGATTACTACAAGAGAATAAATACTTTTAATCAAATTTTCAGAAAGAAATTATTATTTTTAAAAGTCTGATCCATTTTTCTAATTTTTTAGAAGTACAAAATTCAATATATTTCTGAATTATTTAAAAAAAATATATTTTCTTTGAAAGAATAAAGAAATCTTATTACCTGTAAATAAAATGTACAAAAACACAAATTAAAAAGAATAACCACCAAGTTCAAAATAAACCAGTTTAAAAAATTTACTTTATATCAAAAAAATACAATAATTATTTTAAACTTGAAAAAAATATAATTTTTTGATTCAAAGAACAGTTCAAATCAATTTTTTCTCTTTTGTGAATAAAAAAATCTGAGAAAAAGCACCAAAGAATTAAATTAATA